TTCGTATGACTCCATCAACACAAATTTTATAGAGGAATGGTTCCTCCCAGATGTAAGTTCGAGAGTCATATTACAACTTCTTCTTTTCTGCATGAGTTGCTCCGGTTGGAATTATTCCATTTGAAAGATAATTCGCTATGTCAGCGAACCATGGATCAATACTTTTAGCCAGCATAAGTTGTTCTCCGATGAAGTAATCATTGATCGGCATAGTTCATGCTTCGGGAATTTCCAACCTTGATAAGTGGTCCGCAACCACATTTTCCGACCCCTTCCGGTCTTTGATCTCCATATCAAGTTCTTGTAGTAAAAGAATCCATCTTAGGAGCCTTGGTTTGGAGTCTTTCTTTGCCATGAGGTATTTGATAGCAGCATGATTAGTGTACACAATAATTTTTCTTCCGATGAGATATGATCGGAACTTCTCAATGGCAAAGACTACCGCAAGAAACTCTTTTTTAGTTTTTGCATAATTGAGTTATGCATCATCAAGAGTATGACTCGCGTAGTATATGACATAGGCTTCTCTCCCCTTGCGTTGGCCTAGCACAGATCCGACTGCATAATCACTGGCATCACACATGATTTCGAATGGTAAGTTCCAGTCGGGTGGCCTTATAATTAGAGCAGTTGTTAAGGCCATCTTCAGCTTAGAAAAAGCTTCTTGACAATCAACATCAAAATTAAAATCTACATCCTTGGAAAGTAGATTTGTCAAGGGTTTTGAGATTTTAGAGAAGTCTTTGATGAAACGGCGGTAGAATCCAGCATGATCGAGAAAACTCCGAATTCCTTTTACAGAATTTGGTGGTGACAACTTTTCAATGACTTCAATCTTCGCTGGATCAACTTCAATACCACTTTCAGAGATTTTGTGGCCAAGTACAATTCTTTTTGTTGCCATGAAATGGCATTTCTCCCAATTTAGTATAAGATTGGCTTCTTAGCATCTGCTCAGCACTTTGTCTAAATTCATTAGACAATCTTCAAATGAATTCCCATATACAGAGATATCATCCATGAATACCTCCATGATCTCCTCGATGTATTATGAGAAAATAGCAATCATACACCTTTGAAAAGTCATAGGTGCATTACATAATCCAAATGGCATTCTCCGGTATGCAAATGTGCCATAAGGACATGTAAATGTCGTCATTTCTTGATCATGAGGATGAATCGGGATTTGAAAGAATCCTGAGAAGCCATCTAGAAAACAGAAATAGGAATGTTTGACCATTCTTTCCAGCGGCTGATCAATGAACGGGAGAGGAAAATGATCCTTCCGAGTGGCTTTGTTTAACTTTCGGTAATCAGTGCACATGCGCCAGCCAGTAACCATTCGGGTAGGAATAAGTTCATTGTTGTCGTTTTTAACAACGGTATTTCCTCCCTTTTTCGGAACCACATGAATAGGACTAACCCATTTGCTGTCTGAAATGGGATAGATGATTCCTGCTCTCAACAACTTTAGCACTTATTTCTTGACAACGTATTTCATGTTTGGATTAAGACGTCGTTGGTGCTCAATGCATCGTTTATGTTCCTTTTCAAGATAGATGCGGTGCATGCAATATGAAGAACTGATTCTGACAATATCGCCAATGGTGTAACCAATTATCCTCCGGTGTTCCCTAAGGACTTTAAGCAGCTTCTCCTCTTGTTCGGCATTTAGGGAAGAGTTGATGATCACCAGAAAAGTAGAATCAGGCCCAAGAAAAACATACCGTAAAGTAGAGGGAAGAGGCTTGAGCTCTACTTTAGGTATTTCATCATTTTTGGGCATTGGCTCCTCTTCAAGATTAGGGACTTCAAATTTTTCCGGTCCCTCCATTGGTTCGGAGAGATGATCTAAAATCTCCAAGCATGAGTTCACCATCTCATTTGATTGTTTCTCTTCAACAGATTGGCATATGGTGTACTCCATTGGATCTCTTGAGAGTAAATGAGTTTCCTCAAGAGTTCCAAGAATACATGAATCAATGATATCCACGTTGAAACAATCAAGAATGCATGCAGCATTCTTACTCAGCTCTGGCACATTGAACTCGATCTTGTCATCCCTGATTTCAAGGATGAGTGTACCCTTCTTCACATTTATGATTGCTCCAGCAGTGGCTAGAAATGGTCTCCCGAGAATGATAGGAACTCGGGCATCTTCTTCCATATCCAAGACAACAAAGTCTCCTGGAATATAGTATTTATCAATCTTCACAGGAACATCTTCAAGAATGCCGATTGGATACTTCACAGAGCGATTAGCCAATTGTAGCGCCATGGTTGTCGGTTTTGGATCACCCAAGTGTAGCTTTTGACACAGAGAGTATGGAATCAAGCTAACACTTGCACCAAGATCACAAAGAGCTTTGTTTACTTTAGATCCTCCGATGTAGCCGGAATTGAAAAACTTCCAGGATCACGTAGTTTTGGTGTGATCTTATTTTAGATAATGGCACTGCACTCTTGACTCATGGCCACCGTGAGAGGATTTTCCTTCTTCTTTGTTAAGATCTCCTTAAGAAATTTGGCATATGAAGGAATTTCGGCATGGCATCAAGTAAAGGAATAGAGATATCCAATTGCTTGATACGGTTCAAGAACTTTGTTCTTCGTTCCTCAAAATGTGATTTCTTGAGTCGGTTTGGAAAAGGAATTGGTGGAGCATATTTCCTTACCAAACCTTCTTCTTCTTTTTTCTTTCCTTCTTTGATCTGGATTGACTCCGGCAACATTTCAGCAGCATCTCCTTTGACTTTGTCCTGAGCTTCTTCTTTGACATCCTCTCTTCTTTCTTCTTCAGGATCACTACTCGGAAGAGATGGAGATTGAATTTGTTTCTCACTCCGAGTAGTGATAGCATTCATTTGCTCTCTTGGATTCTTAGGACAAGCTGGCAATTTTCCAGTCACATTTGTTGATGATGTTGATGCTTGACTAGAGATTTGATTTTCAAGCGTCCTATTGTGAGCTCGAAGTTGAGTAAGCTCTTCAGAAATCTTCTTCAAGGTTTCGGCTTGGGCTAGTTGAGATTTGAGTAGCTGATCAACAATGTTATCCAAGCCGGGAGCTGATGTTGTTTCAGGAGTTGGCAGGATCGACTTTTGTTGATTGGAAACATAGGGGAAGCTTTGGTTTTGCTTAAACTGATGATTGTTAGCAAAACCTTGGCCACCTCTAAATTGTTGTTGCTGTTGATTTTGAAAGCCGGGTGGTGGACTCCGATAAGCTTGTGGATTGGCAGCTCCATTTGGATTGCTCTAAGAGAAACCAGGATGATTTCTGTTTTGAGAATTAAATCCGCCAAATGGGTTTTGTTGTTGCTGCGGCCAGTTATAGTTGATATAATCAACTTGCTCCATTGCATCCCATGGACACGAAGATTGATCATGTTGTCCATCACATGATACACACATGAGAACAGGAACATGAGGCGATGCTGGCGTACACTACGCCAAAAACATTATCAGACGACTGTTGATTAACTACTGTTTATGGAAACACAGTAGTTAAAAAAACACAGACTACTGTGAGTTTTTCTTGGCTACAGAACAGTAGTCTAGCTACTATGCTTTAAAACTGTTTTTAAAGTTTCGAGAAACGGTAATATATCACTAGTTGTCTGTGTCAGTTCAAAATACAGTTTTTGTTGCAACAGTTGTCAATAACAAAATAAGAATACTCTATTTAAACAGTAGTATGATGTTTTAGTCTAGAACTATTTTTAAACTTATTAGAAACAGTTATCTATTGCTAGTTGTCTGTTTCATATGACTTTTTTTCCACCGTTGTTTCTAATGGAAATAAAAGACTCTTTTGTAACAGTTGTCTATGAATTAAGGGTAGAACTATTTTTAAACTTGTCAGAAACGGTAATCTTTTATTAGTAGTCCATTGCACCTAAAAATACAGTTTTTGTTACCACAGTTGTCAATAATTAGTTAAGACTACTATTTCTAAAAGTAGTCCGGTTTTCAGTTTATAACTGTTTTTAAACTTATAAAAAATAGTATTATATTGTTAGTTGTATGTTTCATATGGTTTTATTTTTCATAGTTGTTTATTATAAGAATAGAAGACTCCCTTGTAACAGTAATATATTTATATAGCGT